TTTTTCACGGTAGCCCCCGAATCAGTTTCGCAAATTAAGAAGTTAGTTTATTTATTTATTTATTCAGAAAATTTGCGAAAAATCGCGTACTCTGATGTATTAGAAAGTCGGAGTGTTACACCTCTCTTCGTAGAACCCTAATTTTTCTCTTCTTGATTCCGTTTTCGTTGTTTGAATTTCTCTCTCTTCTTTTTTTTTTTCTTTTTCAGATCCTGTGCCTCCATCTCCTTCCTCGACCACTTCTTCTGACTCAGTCCAGATACTACCTTCTGCACTTGAGGCCGTTCCTCTCTCGATTCTTCGCCCCGGTGATACTGTCCCTATCCGTGTTTTCATAGCTCGCGTTGCTTCATCCAACTCCGGGGATACTATGGATAACATCGCGCGTTATATGAGCTAGAGGAGGATGAAGTTATTTCTCCTCAGCCCACTGCTCCTTCATCTTCAGCCATCCCGCCTTCTTCCTCCCAACCTGGATCTTCGAACACTCTGCCCAAACGATCATCGACCAAAAAACACTCCCAGCGTTCGTCTTCTACCTCTCTCTCTCATCCCTAGTTTAATCCTAAGAAAATTGGCCAACCTCTTGGTTGGGCATTCCTTAGGTCTTCTTCCTCTGACAAATATGATCACCCTCCGCGTGATTGTTATACTTTTTTTCGAGATACAGTTCAAACTTGGTCTCCGCTTCCCCCTAAGTCCCGAGCTGCTTCGCATTTGCGAATGGTTCTCGCTTCCCCTGCATCAACTTCCACCTAACGCTATCCGTTTTATGAACACCTTCATTATTCTCTGTCACGTTCGTTTAGGCCGATTTGACTTGGATTTCTTCCATTATTGCTATACCCCCTCTAAACAAGGTCGAGGCCTTTATTTGAAAAGTCGCAACTGCGCCTATTTTATTAATGATATTCCTTCTAATCTTCCCAAGTGGAGCGACAAATTCATTTTTGTTCGACCTGAAGCCCCTTTTTCTTGGCCTTCGGTCCCCTGGGTCAAGGAAGTCTCAAAAGAGGCGGCTTCGGCCCCTCCTCCGAATCCTCTTTTCGACCAACGGGTCCATACTTGGAACTCCAAGACCGTTGCGTCGGAAATACTACTCAAGGACGAGAATCTTCTCCACTATTGTGGTCTTCTTACCCATAAAGTTTGTCCTCCTACTACCGATGAGGTCCTCGATCTCATTCGGATTGAGAATGATCCAGGTAATATTCGAGCAAATTGGTCAAGTGTTTATGCGTTTCGTTTCTTTGTTTTTGTTCTGAGTGATTTTTGCTGATTGTCGGGTATGATCTGTGTTGTGATCTTCTTGCAGAGGTGCCCAGTTTCAACATACCTCCGAGGAAGACTCCTCTGAAAAAGAAGTCAGGGGTAGCCTCTGGCTCGACGAGCGACAAGGTTGAAGGATCGACCAACTCCAGTGGGTCTCGAACAGAGCCGTAGCAACGATCGCCCCCACGAGAGATTCCGCCGCCTCCTCCACCGCCGTCGAAGGAACAACAGCAGCAACACCTGCAACAGCAACCTCCGCCCCGACAGCTGCAGCAGCAACCTCCACCTCGGCAACAGCAGCAACAACAGACACGCCAAACCCCTCCACCTCCTCCTGGGAAGGTACCACAACCGTCTTCTACCTCGGCCGCTGCCGCCCAATCCTCGAGCGCGTCCAAGTCTGACGATCGCCACAATAGAACCGTCGAACGCCAAGCTATCGACCGCCAACAGAAAGCTGACGGTCGCCACCAAAAATTTGACGATCACTGCAAAACCGACGACCGCCATCGAGCCGAACACCGCCAAAAGATCGACCCCCGCGCTCCCAATCCGAAGGAGGCCACTCTTTCCAAAGCCGCGGACAAGTCTCTCGAGCCTCATATCTCGTCTGATATAGCCATACTGTCGTGCATCGGTTCAGTAACCGCGGCATTGCCGCAATTGGCTCATAGCGGCTCATATCGTCACGGTTAGAGACTACCAAGTCGACTTCGGCAAAGTCGACTCTATTAGTAAGGTTCCATGATACTCTCAGTCAAGAAGCCCGGCTCTCGACCGAGTCAATGTACACCTGTCGACTAGAATAAGTCGACCTCTGGTAAGATAACGGTCAGACGTATTAGGGTCTACTAACAGTTGAGTGCGACCCAGTCGACTCGACGCAATATCTCAGGTCGACTGAGGGAGTTGTAGCTCGTGGTTCCCGATAGCTTTGACACACCTTAGCATATTGAAGAAGAGTTAAGGATAAGAAGGAAGCTAAGGAAGGATCTAGATGCTGACTAGGAAGTAGGCGGAATATGAACCGACCGGGGTATTCTGGACATTTCCATTAAGTCGGCCGGGGCACTTTGGGGACTTCGGGTATATATTGTACTCCTATATAAAGGACTGAGGTAATCCCAAAACCCTAACTCCCATTCATTCCATATCCTTTTCATTACTGCTGCTGCTCTGATAGCAGCTATCATCACCTCTCTCATATACTGGCTTGAGCGTCGGAGGCTCTACGCGGGAAACCCCTCCGGCGTTGAGTTCTTGCAGGTGTTCTTGCGGCTCACAACAATGGTTCGATCGCCATCACATCAGATCTAAGCTCATCCGTACCGGTTCGTCCCAGATCCGGACGTTTTCTCATTAGACCGTCCCAGATCTGAGAAGAAACCCATCATTTGGCGCCGTCTGTGGGGAGCTCTTGAAGGAATTAAGAGCTTTACACCTAGCTTGGATCTGTTTCCGATGGCTGAGAAGGAAGGAGTGCAGAAAAACTTGAACGAGGACTTCAGGGCAACATGGACGGACAAGCGACCTCCGCCGATTCCCAGCTTTAGACCACCGCTCCAGGTGCTGGGATTCCCACCTTTTGGGGCACACGCGCCGTCAGGAGGGCGTACGGGAGAAGAGACGCCTATTACCCCACCCGGAGTCAAGATCCCGGTTCTCACGCAGGGGGAGGCCAGCCACGTGAGGGACACGAGCGGAGAGACAGGTGATCACGCATCAACTGAAATCTCCCTAAGGATGGGGAGGCAGCCTGGGCGACTCGACCAAGAGGTAAGGCCACCGCCCCAAGGCAAGGAACAAACGCTGACCATGACGAGAAGCGAGATGCAGAGAATGATCACGGAGGCAGTGGCGGCCCAACTCAAATGGACACCAGTCGAACAACCAAGGGTCGAGCAGCTCAGGGTCGAACAAGCGAGAGTTGAACAACTCCAAAACGAACAGCAGCCCCCTGAGCGCGAACAGCAGGCACAATCGCATGAGAGGCAAAACAGGAAGATAGACGAGGAAGAATCCTCTGTATGAACCGTCAATCCACAAGCCAGAAACGACACGCTGGAACAGCTGTTAGCGCAGGTCCGAGACTTGCAGGCCCGGGTCGAAGGAAGGAAGACGGGAAGCGCAAGGGGACACCCTTTTTCACAACATATCCTAGATACCGACTTGCCTCAAGGCTTCAGGGAGCTTAATATCTGGTATGATGGGTCGACTGATCCCTCCCGACATCTTAGAAGCTTCGAAAACATGGCAGTACTACACCGATACAATGACCCCGTTCAGTGCCGAGCATTCCTGACGACCCTGCGAGGGCCCGCGCAGGATTGGTTTCACCAATTGCCCCCGGGGGCCATCAGGGATTTCGACGGGTTTAGCTCGAGCTTCCTAAACCAATTTTCAAGTGTCAAAGCCCAAGAAAAGTCGTACCTTACTCCTATAGGTATGCAGCAGAAGGAAGGGGAATCACTAAGGGACTACGTGGCGAGGTACACGAGGGCGTGTGTCGATGTCCCCTCGGCCACTGAGGAGATCAAGTCGGGAGGACTCACGCGAGGGCTACTCCCGGGACTGTGCAGAAATTCCCTAGCGAAGCGGCCCGGAAGGACGTTTGATGAAGTTTTGGGAAGGTGCGCCAAATACATGAATGTTGAGGAAGCCGAAGCCGACTTTCTGCAAGTGGCTAAGCCAAAAACTGAGCCTCAGGATGAGAAGAAGGACAAAAAGCCGGTCGCAACAACTGAAAGGAAAGGATCCCCAAGGGCCGAAAGAGAAGGGCGACCAAGGGGGTGGAGAACAACCCAATATACTCCTTTGTCGGCCTCGCGCGTAAGGATACTGGAGGTTATGGAGAGAGAGATCCGCGACAACGTCGTCAGGTGGCCACAAACGAGAAAGGACGGGCCGACACAACCTAAAAGTAACATGTGTTGTCGATTCCACAAAGACTATGGCCATAACACCGATGAATGTCGGCACTTGAAAAATGAGATAGAGAGATTAATCAAAGCAGGCCATCTGAAGGAATTTGTTTATAAAGATCGAGAACGGCCCAGTCGACGAAGGGAGAGGAGCAAAAGCCCTCGCAAGAGGGCGAGAACACCCGATAAGGAAGAGCTTCCCCAAAAAAGAGGAGTAATTCATATGATATTTAGAGGACCAACTGATGGCGATTCAAATCGGGCTAGAAAAGCATATGCTCGAGGGCATCATAGAAAAACCGAAGTGCAGCAGGTCGAAGAAAATAGTCCGGTGATGAATTTCGGGCCAGCCGACATGGGAGCAGTCGAGAGACCTCATAACGATGCCTTGATGATCACAGCCCAGATATCGGGCTACGAAGTCCAGAGAATCTTCGTCGACACAGGGAGCTCGGTAAATGTGATTTTTTTCGATTGCCTTAAACGCATGGAACTCGAAATTGAACTCTCGCCTCTTCACACTTCACTCTTCGGATTTAATGGTTCGGAAGTCGCCCCTTTGGGGGAAACCACTCTTGCTGTCGTCCTCGGGGAAGGCGATTTAAGGAAGGTAAAAATGGTGCGATTTGTTGTGGTCGACGTCGAGTCGGCTTATAATGTGATCCTGGGAAGGCCGGCACTCAACGCGTTCCAAGCGGTAGTATCAACCTATCATATGAAGCTAAAATTCCCTGTCGGAGATAAGGTAGGAGAGGCCCGAGGCGACCAGAGGCTGTCGAGAACCTGCTATCAGATTGCAGTAAGGACAAACCAACGGACGGAGGTGAAGGAAGGAAAAATGCCAATGATGAGCGAAAAAAGGCCAAGGAATTCTGATCTCGAACCCCACGGGGAGCTAATGGAAATACAAATCGGAGAAACAAAGGAGCAGACCACTAAGGTCGGGAAAGATCTGGAAGCCGAGCTACGAAACCAGCTGATCGCACTATTAAGGGAGTTTAGGGATGTCTTTGCCTTCACCCCTGAAGAGTTAACAGGGATCGACCCCGCTGTTATGGAGCATAAACTCAATGTCGACCCCCTCAGAAAACCAGTAAAACAGCGACTTAGACGTCACGGGGAAGAGATCGACAAAGCAATTGAAGTTGAGGTGGATAAGTTGCTACGGGCAGGACATGTCAAAGAAATCCAATTCCCAGAATGGATATCCAACACTGTGATGGTAAGAAAGGCATTAAACAAATGGCGCATGTGCATCGATTTTCGGGACTTGAACCTGGCTTGCCCGAAGGATCATTACCCTTTACCACGAATTGATCAGCTTGTCAACTCTACGGCTGGTTGCGAGTTATTGAGTATGATGGATGCATCTCAGGGATACCATCAGATCCCGTTATGCCCGGAGGACCAAAGTAAGGTGAGCTTCGTGACGAGTAAGGGGACGTATTGCTATGTTGTCATGCCTTTTGGGCTTAAGAATGCTAGAGCCACCTACCAACGGCTGATGGACCGAATGTTCAAATCTCAGATCGGGCGAAATATCGAAGTATATGTGGACGACATCTTGGTAAAAAGTAAAGTCTCAGCCTCGCACCCAGACGACTTAAGGGAAACATTTCAAACTCTTAGGACGTTCGGGATGAAGCTGAACCCCAACAAGTGTGCCTTTGGAGTAAAGGCAGGGCGATTCCTGGGATATGTCATCACAGAGCATAGAATCGAGGTAAACCGGGAAAAAGTGAAGGCCATACTCGACATGGCCCCACCAAGAAGCATACGAGATGTGCAAGTTCTGACGGGACGAATTGCAGGACTGAGCAGGTTCATTGCTCGGGCCGCAGAAAAAAGCTTCCCATTCTTCAAATTGTTAAAAAAGAAGTCGACCTTTTTATGGAGTGACGAGGCACAGACGGCTTTCGAAAAATTGAAAGAGTTCTTGGGCGAGCTGCCCTTGTTGACAAAACCAAAACCCGGCGACGAGTTGGTGCTCTATATATCTGTGGGTGCAGTGTCACTAAGTTCGGTGTTGTTACGAGAAGAAGGAGGTGTCCAAAAGCCAATTTACTACACCAGTCGATTTCTGCAGGGTGCTGAGACGAGATATTCTGAAATCGAGAAAGCCGCCCTAACATTGGTAATAACGGCTAGAAAGCTAAGGCCATATTTCCTGAACCATGTGGTGTTAGTCAGGACGAACTTTCAGCTAGGAGAGACACTGGGCCAGCCCACGGTATCGGGTCGACTCGTCAAATGGGCAGTCGAGCTGAGCGAATATTCGATCAAGTACGAACCAAGACGAGCCATAAAGGCCCAGGCCCTAGCAGATTTCATCCAAGAAGGAACCAAGGGGGAAGAAAAGAAATGGGTTGCTCATGTCGATGGGTAATCGGCGGCCAAAGGATCGGGTCTTGGAATCGTTATCGTCTCACCCGAAGGCGAGCAACTTGACTTTGCTATTAGAATGGGATTTAAAGCCTCGAACAACGAAGCCGAGTACGAAGCGCTAATCAAGGGAATTCAACTCGCAATTGGTGGGGGAGCGTCGGAAGTCGTAGCACATTCCGACTCGCAGTTAGTCGTTGGACAAGTGTTGGGAAACTTCGAAATCAAAGAAGAGCGAATGATGAAATATGTCGAAGAAATCCAAAGCCTTGTGCAGGGCTTGGAGAAGTTCGAGCTAACGCAGATCCCTCGGGAAGAAAACAAACGAGCAGATTGGCTTGCGAGAATAGCAAGCTCGAATGAGGGAAAGATGGAAAGTTCTATTATTACAATGCACTTAGAAGGGAGCGTGTTGGGCGAAACAATGGAAGTCGAGGAAAAGGATGATTGGAGAAAGCCGATTCGCGAACTCCTGCAGGGCCAAGT